GTTAATGCCCCTATTGCCAAAAAAAAAAAAAAAACAGTGACTAGTATTCACACAAATTAAAAGATCACAGGCAAAAGAAAGTTTTGGAAGCCAAAAGAAGACAGTGACAGCTAAAAGCTACAGGTGACTGTGGCTAAATCCAGAAGGAAACCAGTGAGTCCACCTCTTTGTAAAGAAGAGATATATATTCTCTGTATTTTATCACATTCTCCCTAAAATTTGGTCAAACCCACCTATCGTTATTTGATTCCTCCTCCCTCTAGGAGACAGGGAGGGGCAGTTTGAAATACTACCTTTCCAGCTTAATAGAGACTCGTCAACAAGGAAGCATTCCAATTCAGATGTTTTGATACTCACTATTCTTTCTTCCCTAAAACCCAAACATTCAGCTGAATGCCTTAGGAAACATATCTGCTATAAATTCATTTTTTATCTAATTTGTCTGAGATCTAAGCTTCCTGTGGAGGTCCAAGATCAAAGGATCTGATTCTTTCTGATGTCGGCACTGACATATAATGTGTGCTGACTTAGTTCTGTCTATAACCTCACACTGGGAGGCAGCCCCGCCTTCTTGGGCACCCTTACACAGTGAGCTTTCATTTCAGCTAGGGAGTCTGTCAGGTATGTTGCTGATTGGAGCGGCCATGTAAATAATTCATGGGGAGATTCTTAATGTTTTTGGGTCTGCAAAGGCAAGCTACCCCTATTAGTCTTTTATGAATAGATACAGACTTGAAGAACAAGATGGAACAGATTTTGAATGACGATCTCTTAAAAACAGGATAACAATGTCTTCAATGGATTGAAAATAGGTGACGTGCAGTATCTGATCCCTCATATATGAAGTAGTATTGGTTTTACCACGGGATACAATTCAAAGCCTTTTTTTTTCCTTTTTAAGTTTGCTTCTACCTGACAATTTATTATTCGTCATCTTTGGTTATTTGCTGATCCTGATAAACTATGTCTTTTCCTCCGAGTGGTAGCATAATTATGGTGATGATACTGTGCTCAGTGTTTGGCATGGGACTGGACATAATGAGGGCACAAGGTTGAAAAAAATTTCCTTTTCTGAAAGAACTCAGAGTCTTAAGAGGAAGACAAGACTGTCACACAAGGAAAGGTGACCAATAATAGAAGTAGTTGCACAGGCCAAATGAGAAACCCCAGTCCACAAGTACTGAAGCATAAATCAGTGTAGTTTGAGGTATCAAGGAACACTTCGGAAGGAGTCAAAGATCCCATAGGGAATATAGGTAACCTGAAAATTCTCGTAGTTCTAAGCAAGAGAATCGTTTATGTGTTCATGGCAGATACACATTAGGCAAAAATACTGTGGAAAAGGAGAAAGAAAATATGACTAGCATGGGTTTAACAGAATATTGATCAATGCATCATAGAAACAATGGAAACCACATGATTATCTCATCTTACTGCTCCAACTCCATATTATATATATTTATATTATGTTGTTACCTTCACTCTTCTTCGCTTCATTTCCCATTCATTGTTGGGTTAAATTGAAGTAGGAAATTGGTACCCTCTACACTAATATTGCTTCATACAGTATGATATAGACGAGATTACTGTCTCCTAACAAAAACCAAGGCAGCTCTCAATAAACAGAGAGGAGCATAATATACAGGTTAATAAATTCCCGTTTTCATTGTATATAAAAGAGTGATTAATGAATTCAGTGGTAAAAATATGAGGAAACCAAGGATGGAAATTGTAGATGACAGTATTGCTACCTCCTTCCCAGTGGGTTAGAGCAGTTCTCAACCTTTTTCCACTGTAAGGCACATGGAGATGACGTTCAAATGCATGATACACTTCTATATATGTATCCAACCAAATGTGCATGTAACGGACTGAATGTTCTTCTCAACTCCACATCTCAATCTTTAACTTTACACAATAGTGTGTGGTGCTTAGAATACAGATTCTGGAGCCAAAAATTTTGAATTCTGTAAAGTAAGTATACTCTGCCACTATTTTCTGCATGGTCTTAAGGAGGTTACCTTATCTCTCTGTGCCTCAGTTCTAAAAATTGAGCCTTCCCCCTAAACCAAACCAAAGCAAAACTCGTTGCTGTCAAGTTGATTCTGACTCATAGCGACCCTAGAAGACAGAGTAGAACTTCCCCATAGGGTTTCCAAGGAGCGGCTGGTGAATTCGAATTGCCGACCTTTTACTTAGCAGCCGAGCTCTTTACCACTGCGCCACCAGGACTCCTTCCCCCCAAAAGAGGGGTAATAATAGCACTTAACTTCCGAGGGTTATTGTAAGGATTAAATGAAAATTTAGAATGGTGCCTGGCATGTAGTAATTGCTATGATTGCTGTATGTTATTTTAAATTATTATTAACCCTGTCTCTCTCCAAGAGCACATATTGGAATATAAATGAATAGAGGTGTCATTAATTTGGGAATAATCTTGAATTTTCTTTTATGTATTAAAAAATCTATCATTTGATAAAATCGTTTAAAAATTGATTTGTGATACTTATTGTTTATAACAAATAAATTAATACCCTCAACACTCAATGTATTATCCTTCAGAGTTAGGGAATAGTTTGTGAAGGTGATAAGATATTTTGCAAGATGAATAAAAGAAGGGACAGAGCTTTGAAAGCCAGGAGGGAAACACTATTTCAGGCCTACAGTGTGTTCTTAGGTAATTCTTAAAGGTGGGATAATTAGGGGAAGGAATTAAAATATTCAGGCTTAGAATAGACTGCAGCTGGAGAATAAAGCATTATAACATATATAAAATATTTTAAAGGAATTGTATTTGGACATACAGCTGGAAGAATTTTAAAATATTAAAGTCAGAAAAGAGTACACATTAAAAAAAATACTTTAATGTTCAAGGCTATTTAAAGCCAACATTTCCACTAACTTCCATGAAATACTCCTATGTTTGGTCCTTTTGTTGCTTCCTCCAGTAATCATCAGCTTTGCCATTAACACATCATCATCATCATCATCATTGTCATCATAACAATATGACATAAGAACACAACAGCTGATTTTTATAGGGTCCTTAATAGTTGACAGGAAACCTTGGCGGTGTAGCAGTTAAGAGCTAGGGCTGCGAACCAAAAGGTTGGCAGTTTGAATCCACCAGATGCTCCTTGGAAAGCCTATGGGGCAGTTCTACTCTGTCCTATAGGGTCGCTGTGAGTCAGAATCGACTAGATGGTAACGGCTTTGGTTTTCTGGTTTTAACAGTTGACTAGGCACCTGGACATGTAGTAGATCATCTGCTCTCATAGTAGCCTTATGAGATAGCAAAGCAAGTTATCTCATTTTACTAATAAGAAAGCTGCAATTCAAAGACGAAAAATTACATTTTCTAGTAAACCCAGTTAGACATTCAATAGTTCAGTTAGCAGCCTAGTGTGTTAAGTTTGCAGCACAGAGGGGTATCTCTCTATATATTTATATTCATGTTTCTTATAAAATCACAGATTTTATAAATTTGACATGAAACTGCAAGTATTAGATAAGAATTGTTTGTAGAGCTCATTTGACCGCATTTCTGAATACAGGAATGAGCTGGCCTGCTTGGTAAGGCCTGACGGTGGTCTTGTTTTCATACTTCAGCAGTTTGTTACACTGAAAATCCCTGTAGACGTATCAACATCATAGAAGTGTTTTTCTGGGAAGTAGTATTATCAGATTTTCATTAGACACTTAATTACAAATTTACTTTGTCTGAAAAAATAGAAAAATATGCCTACAAACGCATTTTCTGGTGCGGCTGTTTTGCTGGGACAAGGTAGAAACTGGCATGAGTTCTCTCTGACAATGCACCTACCCTCGGCAGTAGTCCCCAGCCCTATCACTCTTCCAATCTTCTGGAGTTCCCTGAATCTACACCTCTCGCTTTGGCTCTTCACCACACTCTGCCCCTCAGGGTCCTCTAATTGTTTAATGTGTTCTACATCTTACTTCCCCTTACGGAGGACACACCCCAAAGGCCAGGGAGAGTGTCTGCTCCCAAGGTCAGCATTACATCCCATGGGCACACCTGCCCTCGAGGCTCTCCTGCTCAGCAGGTATACCTGCAGGAGACTGGGAAGTGGAAGGAGACTCAATAGCACCTAACTCACCAGACGGCAAATAGAAGGTATGCAAGAAATGATTAGGAAATGAAGCCAAACAGGATCTGAAATGCCCAGTCAATGAATGGTGCATAGTAACATGAACATATTTTTAAATGAATGTTTAAAATCCTTCCTTTATCTATGACCTCATCTCCAATCATTCTCTATTTTTCTTGCTTATTATTCCTCAGCCACATTCTTCTTCTTTATGTTTCTCAAAACAATTCTGATTTCTGCTTCAGGGCCTTTGCCCAAGCTACTCCTTCTGCCCCAATACTCTTACACCAGTCATTTTGCATGGCTGACTCCTACTCATTATTCAAATCTCAACTCAAATATCATCTCCTCAGGAAGCCTTCCTGAACCCCCACCCTAAAGGAGATTTCTGGCCCACATCACCCTCTTTTATCTTCATCAACATTTCTCCCTAACTGATATTTTCTCACTTATTTAGTTATTACGGTTCAAGCTCCATATGAGTATGGACTTTGTCTATCTTGTTCACTGCTGTATTCCCTGTTGTAGAACCGGATCTGGTACACAGTAGATGCTCAATAAACATTTGTTCTATGCATGTATTGATTATTTCCATCTGAATGAACATATTAAATGAATTAAATACTGAAGACTGATAAAGGCAAGCTCCTCCTTAACGTAGCAAGACTCTAAAACTGTGAGTTTTCACCATGAGCGCTGGATAATGTATCTTTTTAGGGAAAATATACTTTCAAAGATATTTGGAAAACTATAAGGTGATGCAACTCAATCTTTAATTATTTGGCAACATCTTTTCAGGAATGCAATTTAACATATAGCATTTTGCTAAATATGCAAAATGTGTAGTCAATTGATGGAAAACTAAAGTTATTTCTTCTCCTACTTCTTTAGATATGAGGATGAAGGTCATGCTGGGCAAGCTGAACCAGCTCCCCCACCAGTCACTGAATGGAGTGTCCAGAAGGAAGGTTAGCCACCGTGCTGCCCGGGAAGAGGATGGCAGCCGAGAGGAGGCCGCTGTGTCT